GTTTGCAAAAATCTAACAAGAGGCGAACACAAAAGAAAGTCGTGATTCAGTCGCCGGGTAAATCCAGGTCCATGTGATAAACTGCTCACAGCACTTCCTACACTGGAATATGACGTTATAAGCAGGCTGTGCTTGACTCATGACCTGTCCAGGTGTACCCCGTCTCTTGCACAGTGACTGCTGGACATGGGCACCAGTGGAAGGACTGGTAAAGATAATAGACAATATAAGCATGGCCTTCTGCATGTTTATTTATTTGCAGCATTGATTACAACAAAAGGCAGTGACATATTTTTACTTTGAATTTCCTCCATTTGCATTAAAACTTTAGTTATCGTTTATTCCTTGCTCTTTAGCAAAAATACTTAGAAACACAACCAACACACACGGGTGTGGTGGCGCAGAGGTTAGAGAAGGTGAACCTGTGATCGGAAGATCGCTGGTTCAAGTCCAGGTACAGACAACATCAAAATGTGGGTGGGATAGGTGAAGCACCCACACCTGCCCCCACTCTCATTTGCCCAACTCTAGACCCTTGAGCAAGACCTTTAAACCCCCACCCCCCACCCCCATCCCATCTGCTCCCCTGGGCACCCTATAGCAGCTCTCTGCTCCACACAGACGGCTGTGGTAGCTCGGTGGACTGTGGTTGTGTGTGGTACCAAGTCTTTGTGCAACTTAGTTCACTGTGGTGACCCCTGGTGAAGGGAGCAGCCGAAAGAAGAAGAAGAAGAAAAACAACACACACACACCGTACGTTCACCACAGACTCCTCATTCACACACACATCATGTTTTGCTACCTTTAGCCAGTTATATTCTTTAGGCTTTTAGTTAGTGTTTTGCTTATTTTAGTTTTTAGCTCATGTTCTGCTTCTTACGGGTTTAACAAGCAAACTTCAGCTGTCACACTGCATTTTCATATAAACTGTTTAATCAATAGATCAAAGTTCATGCTCAATAATCCAGGTATGAAATCCAACAAAGTTCAGTCAGGTCATCTGAACGGTTTAGCTTTTGTTGACACGTTTCGTCCTTCATCCAAAGGACTTAACCATCCAAATGACTTCATCATCCAAAGGACTTCATCAATCTGAGGAGCCCCAAATAAATTGAGTCCCACAAGCAGCACACTCACATAGTGGACCAACCAGTTTGTTGGTGATAAGATGGTTTCTGGGGCCCGCCCTCTCCCACGTTGACTCCTATGAGACATCCATAGCCAAAGTGGTTCAAAACATCAAAGTTCATGCTCAATAATCCAGGTATAAAATCCAACAAAGTTCAGTCAAGTCCTCTGAACGGTTTCTTTTTTTTTTTTTAGATGTTTCGTCCTTCATCCAAAGGACTTCATCATCCAAAGGACTTCATCAGTCTGAGGAGCCACAAACAAACTCATTCCCACAAGCAGCACACTCACATAGTGGACCAACCAGTTTGCTGGTGATAAGATGGTTTCTGGGGCCCGCCCTCTCTTTGATGTTTTGAACCACTATGGCTATGGCTGCTTCAGAGGAGTTGACGGGAGAGAGGTTGGGCCCCAGAAACCATCTTATCACCAGCAAACTGGTATGTGGGTATGCTGCTTGTGGGACTCAGTTTGTTGTGGCTCCTCAGATTGATGAAGTCCTTTAGATGATGAAGTCCTTTAGATGATGCATTCATACTTCTCCTACATGTTTCTGTGTGAATGCAGCTACAGTGTGCGCTCTCAGGACATTATTACCTGCAATGTCCCCTCAGTGCAGACTGAACTTTACAAAAGGGCCTTCTCCTACTCCGCTCCTGTTTCCTGGAATTTCGTGCAAAAAGATCTGAAGCTCTCGACCTTGACCTCTTTAAACATCTGCTAAATTCCTGGCAAGAACCACTGCAGACATGTTCCTGTTTTTAGTTTTCTACACCACCTTATAATCTAGCTGTGCTTTTTGCTACTTCTCCTTTCAATCATCATTTTATTTTCACTTGTTTAAAAAAAATAATAATTTGTATGCAACCTTTATGATTGTCCACTGTTGTCATCACTCTTTGTTAAAATCAGGTCTCTTTTGTAAATGAGTCCCCGAGGCTCAATGGGATTAACCTGTATAAGTAAAGGTTGAATGAATGAAGGATGAATTGTCTCAGCAAAAAAAAGAAACCGTCTACATGACCTGACTGAACATTGCTGTTTTATCACCAGCTTTTTTATTTTCATTGAAATGTAATTCTCTAATATGTTCAATTTGACAGAATTATTCATTCTGTCAGGAAAAGGAATTTAAAAAAAATGCTGGAAGTAGAGGATTCACTGACAACAAATCCCAACCTGTGGCTCAGCGTTTGAGCATCTTCAAATACTCCTCATGACATGAGGCCACCACCCTGCCTGACTCATTCAGGAGCGAACGCTCCAACGTTTCTGACAGAAAGAAGTCGGTGACCTTTAAGCTGGAAATGCTCTGCTGGTGCGGCACCCTCGCTGTCTTTTCCCATCAGAGCTGGAGGTGCAGAGCGAAGACACATCTTTTAGCTGAGGTGAGTATGAAATGTCAGTCTGTCGGCTCCTGTCTGCTGTTTGCTGTGAAGCGTGGCATGAACAGCACACTCAGCCACAAATCAGCCCTTTTATCCGTTCGACTTAAACTAACATTCAGACAAATAATTCCTTTGGATGAAAACAAACGCACAGAATATAGAAATTTGCCAGATTCAGTCCGTCGTATCAACAAATCATTGGCAACTCATACAGTATAAAGGACATTTTCTCTGCGCATGAGATTTATTAATAAAAGCCTCATGACTAATAGATTATGTGAAATGACTGACTGGAAGCAGCTTGTAATAATATCAGGAATTATTTTGCATTATTCATCCGTGTCTGACCTTGGTCGGCCGATGAGAACTTCAATCAGTTCTGCGTTCAGATGATTTACAAAGCGGTGCAGCAGGTTAGCGCAGACGACACTTTTCATCTTCTGTCTGAAAATCCATTAATAAACCAACCAGTTAATTCATTTCTGCATTAATAAATGTGTTTGATGCGTCACTCAAACTTTCATAAGGACGTTTAGAGCTGCTAAAAGGAGCCAACATCGATGGAGCAAGACAATGTTTGTCAAAGCGTCGACAAGTTGAACAAAAACTGCAGCTTGAATCAAAGACAAAACAATCTGAATTGAGTTTTATTTGCTCTATAAAAGCACTACTTGTCACAAGAGTCATTTACAGTCTGCTGCCGTTAAATAATTCACATCCAACATTCTCATTCACTAGTGGTTCGCCGACATGAGTGGTTTCTACATGTGCTGCTGGAAAGCGGGTTTCTTTGTGTTATTAGCTACGATAATTCACCTCATGCACTGATTAAACCAGGAATAATGATGGGGAGGAAAAGCACTGCAGAGGTTCAACCCCAATAAAATAATAAAATAATACAAATCTGCTGTAGTTTGTGTTTTACTCCACTAATGATAAGAATCTAAAACCAGCAGTTCTGTGGAAACTGCAGCTTTGTGTTTTAGTGTGTGATTAGCGTCGCTGCCTCTTGAGGCCACTTGTCTGACTCCTCTCTTTCTTACAGTGCATGCAAGGTAACAATAAAGAAAGTCCCAGTACCGTAACAAAGCAAATATATGCATCAACATATCGGGGTTTTTTCACAGAAAATAAAAGAGTTTACCAAACCAAGTTGTGATGGTAAGTGCAAGAATTCTGCAAATACACATGCAAAAAGTGCCGCAATATGATTCTGTGTATCATCTAGTCAAATAAACAAATAAATATATTGACACACACACATTACTACACTCTAGTGTCGTCTGAAGTATTTCCTGGGCTTGTTTGACAAGCGTTGACGGTGTGAAGAGATCTGTGTATACGTGACACAGTCCTGTTCTGTTTGATGGTTTTGAAATATTATAACCCAATCCTAAATAAGGTTGAGCATTATGCAAAATTTACATAAAATTATTACAACATTAATAGAATATTTGAGAATGGAGTGCAGTAAACACATCAAATGTTGAAACTTAAGAAGGTGTACCTTTTTTTTGAAGAAGGTAATTTTGTGTTTTATAGCAGCAAGACCTGACAAAAGTAGGGACATCGGCAACAACAGGTTAAATAAGTAGGTGATATAAATAAAAAACAGCTGCTTTTTGTAACTAATGAGGTTTATTGGCAGCAGATAAGAGGGCTGTTTAAAAGCAACATCTCTCTGAAGAAGAGCAGAGCAGAGGTTCACTAATCTGAAAAAAGAAATGTCTGAAAATAGCGCAATAATTTCAAACTAATGTTCCTAAATGAAAAAAATGTGAACGGTTTGAGTATCCCATCATCTGTAGTTAATTTTATCATTAAAGAAATTCAAGAATGGGGAGAAATCTCAGCGCCCAAATGACAAACGTCAATTCTGGGAGCCCATGATGTTCAGGCCCTCAGGGGCCACGTCTGAAAACAGCTTCCACACATTATGATCTGAAAACATAGATTGTCTGGTTATTAAGGTGTTGCTGCCATAAAGTTCAAAATTACTCTTCTACAAAGAATGAAACTTTTTTTTTTTTACTTTTA